TAGGGTCGCTAGTCTTATATATAAAGCTGAATGTCTGTTTTTGTCTGTCTGTTTAGAGAACAGCAATCCGGTATAGGAGTACAGAAGAGTTTTCCCTGTCTAATGCATAACAATGAAAGACCTCTGAATGAATGAGAGATCTACCACTTTGAAATTTTTTTATCAAGACAACCAGCAGCAGTTACGAATTTTTCAAGACCTATACAAAATCGATTACTTTCTGTTCGACCTAATATAGCGGTATCGAAGGGAATTATTGAACTACCAAACAGTGTGCTCTTGGGACACCCTGTATATTACAATATTTGTCATCAATTCAGCAACCATGAGCATCAGCAATTAGACCTCAACAGCGTCAGTGTCGACTGTTTTTAACGTCTTGAATGGCACAGCGACGAAGCTCTTGTCAGAAAACTGATCGAAAACTCGAATTGGAAAACACCGAAAGCAAATTGTCGTACAATCGTTTATATCAAAACCCTCATTTCGTTTCCTAGTCTAACTGAAAGTTTGCGGAAAATGGGTCTATTACACTTTTCTACATTATTTCGCTATAGAAACATGTCTACGCATGTGAGAAATAATCAATTGATTCATCGGAAGTTACCGTTAGTGGTACCACATCTTCTTACAGATTTGTCTGTTACATTTAGACCGCAACAATGTTTGAAATGTTTTTAGCAAACGCAGTATTTTGGGTTTACAAAGCTTTTAGTATTTTTGAGTTTTATTGAAACAGCATTAAGAATTGCGAAACGTCAGTTTTGCTTGCTGCGAGCTGAAGGAGTCGCGCGATTACCAGGCTCCTATAAAGTTGTACATCACTGGCAATACATGATTAGCATTCTTGACTTAACCTCGCATTGGACTGCGCATCATTTCGAACCTGTTGAAACGGTCCTCGTCCTCTCCCCCTAATCCATGTCTACCGTTGAAACGATCCCATCTTCCAAATTCACGTCTGCCGTCAAAACGATCCCCTCGCCCAAACTCGTGTCTGCCGTTGAAACGATCTCCTCCTCCAAATCCATGTCTGCGACCTCCCAATTCTGCTTCCATTCCTCTTGGTCCCATATTTGGTATCATTACAAACATTCTTTTGTTGAAACGGTGCTTTCCTCCATATCCATATCTGCCATTTAAACGATCTTCTCCTCCAAATCCGTCTCTGGAGTCAAAACGGTCTTCTCGTCCAAACCCAAGCCTGCCGTAGAAACGATCCCCTCCTCTAAATCTATGTCTGCGACCTCCCATTTCTGGCTCCATTTCTCTTGCTCCCATATTTGGTCTCCATGGCAATAACATTCCAACGAC